TTTGTTGACAAGTGGTTCGGATTCATCATTCGTTCATCATTATTGACAACTTCATACCGTTCATTTTCGGATTGCATCTCCAATACATAAATATTCATCCATCTATATCATTTAAGGTAGAATGTGTTGTTTCCACATCCTATTTACAATGTTGCTTCGAACTAACCCTCAGTGAATAAAGTATGTGAAACTTTTTATCATAATAATAATACTAAAGTAAATTCAGATTATTTGCATCTGATGAGAAACCGTGTGACGATGAATTCAATATGAGGAGACCCACTAGGATTTAGGCATCCTTCAAACTGGTCTATATTAGCTTACAATTCAGAAGTGACTCAAATAGTCTTATTGTGAAAGGAAGACATGAATTAGCTGTGGGTGAAACACGTTACGCAGCTCAATTTATCATTATCTACAAGTCAAGATCTATGTTGCATAAAAAACTCGAAACAGCATTGAGTGATTTTGTCCAATTCCATCGTGTCTATGAATTAACATGTATGCGAGAATATTGTTAACACCTACAACCGACCAATACGTAAGGATCACCTTAAGCAACCAATACACATCAGTCAAGAATTTTGAAGACTCATACTCTATGCTTGATGGTTAGTTAAATAATCACTAGCACCACACGAAGAGGGAGAACACAAGAACCATGTTCACCAATCCAACACCCTTATTATATTTCACACCTTCATTTATATACATGCAAGTCCCGATCACAAAGTAGACCAACTGAGCAACTGTATTAACACAGAACAACAACATTGATGATGGAAATCACGGAGTACATGGTATGCACATAGTCGGTTCTACTTGAAAATTGAAAAATGCTATACCAGCAATTTACGGATCAAATAAACGTTTGGAGCCAGTGTAATGAGTAAACAACAAACCAATATGCTTAATAAACAAGCAATCAATATATATGTGGTGAGATGGATACGTAGCTAGCTAGATAGATATAGGTAGATAGATGGACAAAATTGAAGGAAAATAGCTTCAAAAGATCACAAACCACAGTTAAATCGTCTCTAACAATAGAAACAAATACTGTGAAACGAAACAAACGAGCAAACACTGAAAATAATAAATAAGCTTCTCACTTGTATACTGTAAACAGGATCAACTGGATCACTTGCATTCATTTTACAATACGATATCATTCGACCACCATCATCTGTATTTAGGAGATCATTTGCAATCGAATCAGATGCAAACGAGTGATACTTCCAGGTTGATATACATGAGAAAATGAAATATCAATTGATCGAATGGACAATCTTATCAGATTTCGTTTAACGTTCCCATCTCTGATGACATCTTAACATGAACTTAATTCGATGTGTAGCGAAAAGCATTTACGAAGATTGTCCACTACTTCAATATGAATTGCTAAAACATACGCCATCTCGGAAACCTACAATCGACAAAAGTGTCTCATCGATTGATACTAATTGAATTCCAGTTCTAGATTTTATCATTTCACGTTTCACAAATAAACGTGTTGGTCGAACACATGTAGGTGAATAACACATGAGGATATTGCACTTCCTACAAACACATTGATTTGTCAATAATTCCAGTGAATGAGTGCTGTTAGATTTCACACTCAAGCGTATTTGTGCGCATAGTGGAGGAACAGTGAGAGAGATGTGACGAAATTTCGATTCATGCACAACTCAGTTCTAGATGTATCCCATCTATATTGAAACCAATTGAAAGATATGACATATTATGACAAACATATTGTGAGATGTCAATTGGACAAGTGAGAAGTGTGACCAAATCCCTACTTACTGTCATTGGATATTCGACGACAGTTGTGAATAACGACACAAAACCAGTAGAGGAGAAGTCGGAAATTACAACACTCTCGAAAATATGTTATTACCGAAGTTACTGGATGGGAGTGAAATAGTGACACCATGAAACGTCATGAAACATTTACTACAAACTGAACATTGGTCAACAGATTGGAATAATTACGCACTGTGTTTTTAATATAATGGATGATGAATACTGTTGTGAGTCGATTAATTCACAATAATAGCCACTAATTATTGTTGTGTACATGTTAGTAAAACGATTGATTTAGTGATCGTTAGCCCTGTTCATACTGTCATACTTTCCCAAACTATAAATCATGATATCAAATACACCAACTCCGTTATCTATTGTGAAGGATCGTGGATGCGCACTGCCGAGGAGGCCCATACTCGGACGAAACGGCCGTACAGTGCTTCCAGGTTCTCCATGGTGGTCTAGCTTCAATTGACTCATGATTTTAACCTGTGAAATTTCTAAAAATGTCAACAAAACCCATTCTGATATCTATATTTACTTGTATATGATTTAACGGGATGAAAAGATAAAATTACAGTCTTTAACTCAATGTAATTTTTTTTCAATATTACTTCTATTTTCTAATTCAATGTGTTGATTACTCAATGTATTATTTGTTTTTGTTTTCCAGTATGCTATTTCATTCGATATGACGTACGACGGTCATGCATTAAATTAACTTTAACTATGGTAATTATGACATGCAACATATAGTCTGTTATAACTCACTTGTATCAGTCTTGGTGTTCGTTGGAAGTATAGTGGTTCCTTATTTTACAATTATAAGTAATAGTCAGTTTAGGGGTTGTGGAAATGAAGTTTTTGATTGAGATCATGAACCGATTGATGTTAGATCACCATTGAAAACCTGGAAGCACTAGTCGGCCGTTTCGTCCTATTGTGGGACTCCTCAGCAGTGCGCATTCACGATCCCGCGAGCGGGTCAAGTAATTCTGATATAGTAACTAGCGGCAACCAGATATAACAACGATTGGTGACACAATCATATCAGAGTCTATACCATCCAAACTAATAACCATTTTTCAAATAGATCAGGTGTAAAGCTTTACGAAGACTAAAGAAATAAGACTCATATTTATAATGTTCGGTTACTATCAGTTCAAATGTGTTTCTTAATTGATTTTGTTGTGATTACTGTTTCCTTTTTTAATAATTTATTCTATCTAAACATTTATGTAAAACAACTCTTCAATTTTCAATAAAGTTTCTTATATACTACTCATTACTATAATTTCATTGAATAGTAATATCTATTGTGTATACGAGTCTTAATGTTTACATATGTCAAACCATCATTGTCAGAAATGATATAAACAAATGCATTACAAATTATACCTTAGTTACCGGTAAATAAAGGTCAATTTTTAACAAGTTCTTTAATTAATTCACCTAATTTGTAGACTATACTGTAATTACTGGTAACCATTAGATGACAACTGGTTGTTATGAGAAACAACTCTATAAAATATAAATATATTATCCTATTCGTATTACTTGTAAAGGCTCTATTCACTAAGATAATAAGTAAGTATCATATTATATATATACTCATACTGTATTAATAAATTGTCACTATTCAACTGACTTATGCCTGTTATCCCTCGTGGAGGAACATAAGTCGCCTATCAACATTCTTCATCGAACTTTGCAGTGTTAATCATTAATTCTGTGCATTTAGGAAACCAATGTGTGGGATTATTGGCGTACAACTTTGAGTGATGAATCACTCAGCTCGTATGTCGATGATGAATGCCACCAACTGTGTGAATTAATATGAACTGCATACTGCCTTGAACATCGACATCTTGAACGCGTATTGCAGTCACGAGATATACTGTGACCACGCCTGACCGAAGGTTGACTTTTCGTCTATTCGTGGAATCGACGAGTGCCTGCGAGCATGTATACCCCTATATCAACGTGGGTTGCTAGTCAAAGGCTCCGTTCTAAGAATTCGGCCAAAGATTAGCTTGGTCTAGATGACTTGATTGCGATTGTGTGGTAGGTTGTGCTTTAGTCGAAGCCCAATGACATTATACCCGACCGGGAAAAATCTCTCCTATTGTATGTCACGCTAACTAATTTATCTTGTCTATACGTGTGGTCTTTGGTTTATACTGATAGTATGTGTATCACACACGAATTATACAGTTGCCTCTGACCTTGGATCAGACGTGATCAGCTTTTGAACTTAAGCATATCACTAAACGGAGGAAAGGAAATTAACAAGGATTTCCTGTAAGTGCATAGCGATTAGCCCAACACCGAATCTTGCGGTTAATTGATCGTGAGGCAATGTGGTGCTTATGTTGGCTTCAGGCTTACTATGTAATCGTTCAATGTAATTCAGCTTAAATTTTAAAAAAGACTTCCACTCAGATAACGGACAAAACTTTAGTTTTCCATTCTTGAAGGAATTTTACTCATTATCAGATGTCTTGATTGTATCGAATTTTAAGTTGTCATCGTCAATAGTGTTTTAGATGTTTAGATTCTGAATTTATTTTGGCTATCGTTTCTCTTGTCTTCACTTGCATTTTTCTAAATGATATTTATTGAATTGATCAATAATTTCATAAGTAATATCATTATGTGTAAACTATCAGTCGAAGTGATATTTTCACAACATCAACACTCGTACACACTTATAGTTGAGGCTCAATATATGTAAGTGTTCTTTTTAAGATAGTGGTTGGAAGTAGTCAACAGGAAACCCTGGACCCAGATTTTGCGGTACTTGGCATTCGTCATCAAGATGTACCTGTAATCTTGAGGTAACTGATGCTCCCTGACGGATTTGATTCCGTGTCACTCAGCTTCACAGTCAGAGACATTACCACGAAGCTAACCGGTCCGCGACTGACCTCCTGTAGGACTCAGATATATTTACAATTGATTGATCACTGGATGGTAATCCATGTCATGTGTGTCAGGTCTTTAGTGTAAATCGAGTCACCTAGATTAGTGGCTATATTACAACTTGGTCGATAGGATTCGATATTCACTAAGAAGCATCCGACATATAAGACATCGATCACTAGCTAGTGATCAATCAATTGAACTATCTGATCCGTTAATTTATTTAAATACATCTTATTTTCTTCCATTACAGGTGAATACATTAAATCATGCAGACAAATAAATCACGAACAATCAGTTTATTGACATTATTAATCATATTACTTTTGATAATCAATTATTGGGAATTGATACAAGCGCGAAAATCAAAATCATCAACAAAAACAATAGTTAAACATAATACTATACACAAAACAACTATAAACAAACACTCTAATAAACAACCTACAATAATATCTCAACAGAATCAAAGAAAACCACAACGTAAACAATATAATTACACATATAAACCTCTACAAAATATACAACCATTCAATGCTATTAAAAGGCAATTAAGAACAAATATGATTAGAGATGAATCTCAATCAATTGATACACATCCTAGTTTTTATAAACCATATGAAGCATTAAATAATTATCAACAATATAATAATGACTTAAATGAAGAAGTACCCATTGATGAACAAGTTGGATATATATTACAACTTGAAAATTAAATAATAATAATAATAACGCATAGTAACTTCAATGATTTATTGATTAGTTTTCAGTTTCCCTATTAACGAATTAAATTACATGTATACTGGTGATTTCTTAAATCAATGATTGATATTTATGTTTGTATGCATTTAAATATAATTTTATTTAAATAATATAAACTTCCTTACATTTATTGATTGAATTCATGGGTTAATTGAAGCTAGGTTACTATGGGAAACCTAGAGGTACTAGATGGCCGTTTCATTCTAGTATAGGACTCCTCAACAGCGCTCATCCACGATCATGACTCGCCGGATTCGAACCTATGGATCTCGCGCGCAATCGCTTAAACTCTAGACTACTGAGCCGGCCAGCATCTAATGATGTCTAACTCCAACCAATCTTACATTTGTTTCTATTCTCTTCTCACTTTATTTCTATTATATAATAATGATTATGTAACTGAGTGTAAGTTAATTATATTCAAGTAGTGGAATAAGATATTTTTATATTTCATAGAAATGGTATCATATTCCTAAGTTTAACAGTTGATTTCTCATATGCAAAGTGAAACTCGTCTGGAAAAAATGAAATTTGTTAAAGTATACATTATCATAGATTTTCAGTGTCAGTTGTGACTATAGAAATCAAGAAATAACAAATATACACCATATATGTTTAGATAAGATGGTGGTTAAAGGTATTTAACACCTTGCCGACGAGTAGCAAGTAGCACGTAATCTAGGTCCAAGGTTTGCTGTTTAAAATTTTACGGTTTCCTGTTGACTATCTCCAATCACCATCTTGTCTTAATATAGTGCACACAATGTCGAGTCACCTTGACTAGTGGCCACCTTGCAACTTGGTCGATAAGATTCGATTTGCACTAAGAGAGACCTGACATATATGACATTGATTACTACCCAGTGATCATGCAATCGTAAATGCCATGTATATTTAATGATGAAATAATAAATTGCTTTACTGAATGAGAATATCAGTCATGTAAATCGGTTATTGTGCTTGTGAAGTGCGCATCACATTTTTTCAAGTAATGTCAACAGCAAATGTATTTACGGTTACATTAATTATACGGCGGTTGTGTTCCCCCACCACTCATAGATGAGAAATTGTAGGGTGTGACCTAAAAAAAATTAGAAATTAGTGATTGATGAACCTGTTTTTGAAAGTGTGTACTCAAGTGATAATGAACAAGCATTTTGTCACCTGGATTAATTTTCAAATTCAGTATAGCGGCAGCCCCAGCAGCAGTAGGTCTCAATATACACAAAGGGAAAAGCAAGATTCTCCGATACAACACAGCATGTACCAATCCAGTCACAATTGACGGAGAAGATTTAGAAGATGTAAAAATCTTTACATATTTGGGCAGCATCATTGATGAACATGGTGGGTCTGATGCAGATGTGAAGGCACGGATCGGAAAAGCAAGAGCAACATATCTTCAACTGAAAAAATATCTGGAACTCAAAACAATTGTCAACCAACACCAAGATCAGAATTTTCAATACAAATGTAAGAAAATTCTACTGTATGGAGCGGAAACATGGAGAACTACGAAATCCATCATCCAGAAGATACAAGTGTTTATTAACAGTTGTCTACACAAAATACTTTGGATCCCATGGGCCGGACACTATTAGCAACAACCAACTGTGGGAGAGAACAAACGAGATCCCAGTGGAGGAAGAAATCAGGAGGAAGAGCTGGAAGTGGATATGACACATATTGAGGAAAGCACTCAACTGCGTCACAAGACAAGCCCTCACATAGAATCCTTAAGGCCAAAGGAAAAGAGGAAGATCAAAGAACACATTAGGCTGAGTAATGGAAACGCATATGAGAAGAATGAACCGGAACTTAATAGAAATAGGTCTAGGACAGAGTGGGTTGTAGAATGCTGGTCATCGGCCTATGCTCCATTGGGAGTAACAGGTGTAAATAAGTAAGTAAGCAACACTTTTGTAATTGGCTGTAAATGTGCATCATTGTAAACTGATTAGTTCAAATCCAAATAGCATCAAGTGTTTTGATTGAATGTGAGAAGTTGCATTTTTATGTTTGACTTTTATTTTGCATAAATAATTTTGTCAAACTGTTCCATTCGAGTTTTGATAAAAATTGGAACTTCTGAAAAAAACATCAACTCTATTTTACTAACCTGCTATACTCCTCTTTGTGAATTATTATTTTTATTTATTTTATTTTAACACACAGACATTGGTACAAGGAGGCACCGAATACATACGCGCCACATTTGATGTGTGAGGGTGCCCAAACCGAATCAGGTGGTTTTCTTAGGGGGCTACACCCGGAGCCTTTGACCTGAGGGTCTGATCCACAAGGCAGTGGAGAATCGTAAGGAGATGCAGTCCCATGGTAGCCGGTGACCAACGATTAGTTCATACGCCATTTGTTCCTTCAGGATCCTGTTGCCCATGTGCACCATTGATTTGGAATGAGGGTTTTCCAACTCCTCTAGGTAGACTCTCTGTATCCAACATCCCGGTTAAAGCGCCGGACATTCGCTATTCGTCCCCTCAATTTCGTAAACAACACCCCCTCCACAAGCAGGCAGTGAGTAGGACTTCCCTGGCAGAGGCTATATACGCGTGGCCATGTGAGAGCATTTCGAGAGGGAGAACGGACTCTCCCTACTCTTGGCCGTACCAGAGCATTTGGTAGCCCTGTTTGTGAATGTATATCGGGATAAATACTTTTCGATAAAGTAGATATGGAACTGAAGTTGCTAGTTACCATGACAAGAGTATTAATATGTAGATTGTTAAAAGAAAATTTAGGAAAAAACTGATAATTGTTTTTTTAATAGTTAATACTAATGACTACGGAGGTCGAAAGTTCCGTTCCCATTCTTTTTTTATCGATCTTTTACTGATATATGTTCTATGCTTGACCACTGTTATATACTACTTATGTGAATACAAGTAACCCGCATCACAAAATGTTTAATACACAATTAGTAAACAAATTTTCATTTCCTATTAGCTGTTTTGTTTTTAACACATGGTATACTCATTTAATAAACTTTATATGAATGTAAACAATTACTTGATCACTTGGTAAATGTCTTAGAGTCTGTTGGTAAGTGAAGCAAACAATATTGAATGCTGCTGTCTCGAAAATTGGGAGTGGTTGTACTGTTTCAAATTTAGCCTATGTTAAGCTGAGCATCCATAAATTATTGTCGTATCTCAGGGAATTGCACTCATAATTGTGATGAACATTCCCACGTACAACAGTTCAGTAACCTTCAATAAACTTACAAAAGATGAAGGCCGGACATTTAGTGTTCATTGAAGTCCTTTATGAAAAATATAATAACACTAATCAAATTATCTCTTTCGCCTAATTGTCTATGAGGAACCGCTATATGTTCTATGGCCGTTTCTCCAACATACACATTTAATATACGACTTCTGATCTTTATGGAAATGAGAATCTCTCACCACATAATGGCAGTACTTCGCTCATTCATAAGTTCTGATGGCTCTTTTTAACGCTTCAAGTGAGTCGAATGCTACGAGATACAATGTATTCAATGCCAGGATTTTTGGAATGCGCTTCTCTCCCTCGAAATGCAAGCTGCTGCTTAAGGATTGGTCTGCGTCAACACCTGAACTAAGGATAGGGATTGAAGTAGTCGAACGTGTTGACAACTTCACTTATCTTGGAAGTCTGATCAGCCCTAATGGGTTGGTATCGGACGTAATCTCAGCACGGATTCGAAAAGCTCGTTTGGCTTTTGCCAACTTACTTCACCTGTGGCGAAGGCGAGATATCCGTCTATCAATAAAAGGACGAGTATACTGCGCGGCAGTCCGTTCTGTTTCAATTTACGGCAGCGAAACATGGCCATTAAGAGTAGAACACACCCGTAAGCTACCAGTATTCAATCACAGATGCCTAAGAAATATTGCTGGCGTCTGCTGGGATAATCGGGTAAGTAATGGTGAGGTTAGACGCAGGGTATTAGGAAAGGATGGTAAATCAGTTGATGAGGTTATGAATCTTCATCGACTGAAATGGTTGGGCCACGTGTTACGTATGCCTGAACACCGATTACCAAGACGTGCAATGCTAACCGGTGTTCGGGATGGTTGGAAGAAAGTTAGGGTCGGCCAAACCTAAACGTGGCATCAGTGCTTGAAGTCACTAACTTCTAGTCTGGGCAATGGTGGTAGATGCAGACTACTTGGTCGGGGTCCGCGTGTTTATCGTAACCAATGGTTAGAAACTCTTGGTGACATGACTCAGAATCGATCACAATAGCGTAGGTGGTGTATGCACTCTTTGTCTTCCCTTAAACTAAGAGATTGAAAGCGCTTCATATCTTTCTTTCTATGAACTAATTCTTCCTTTCTGTACTATATTCTTATTGCAATCTTTCTTTTATATATTACCACCTCTGAATTAACTACTTTTATGAATCCGGTGTCCATCTTATTGTGTTAATGAGGTATGGCAACTTGAACCGATGCATATATGTGTCTACGTTGTAGCTGACTAAATGTATTCAAAAATGCATTATCGGTTTCTGTGATAACGTGAGTAACGATAGACTCTTGTACTTTGTATGTTACTATCGTTCATAATTTGACGAAAAAGTACACTGCCGACAAATACTTACATTTTATATCCATTTTAGGAAATATATAACCAATTATAAAGAATTTAAAAACTAGCCATTTAATTGGACGAAACGGAATGAAAAATTTGGAAAATGAAAAGAAAAAAAATACAAAAACCGCCGTACGTTTATTGATATTCTATATATGCCTGCTTGAATCTTATTAACTGATTCGACTATCAATTCACCTTTGTATTCGCATACTCATGTGAGAACATTAGCTTTTTTGTTCAAATTCTCTTGATGTGCTAATGATTCAGTGATCTGTGCTATTCACTATATAAACTGCAGTTAAAATTACTTATCCAAATGTACTCTTGAACATATTTTATGGCAAGACTCTAATTTATGGACGATCTTTGAACCAATCTTAAGTGACCTTGAGAAATATTAGCCAATCAGCAAACAACCAGTATAGGGCAAAAATATGTTACATAAAACCAAAGAAAGAAAGTGGATACACTTCTTATACGTGTTTCAAAAACTTGTCAAGGTTAGAAAGAGGTTCAGAGGTTCTAAAATCGTAATGCATGCAGTAGAAGAAATCATCCATACGGCTACAGGATAGTCGGTCTCTGGAGTCATGATAAAGTCTCAAAAACTCTTTCAACCTCGACCACATAGTTTCATTATTGTTTGTGTGCACTCCGGTTGTTGAGTGTACAAAATGCTACTTGTGGATAACGACACGATGCACATAAGTAAGCCTATGTATGAGTCTGTACGTTCTCCAAACATCCGTATATTGTAGTACCTGGCTGCAGCCAGTGTTACTGATGCTTTTATTATCCAGTTCGCAATAGTTGTCGTAATTTGCCTTAGTTAGGAATTATATATGGGGTTTTCATCACGAACTGACATCAGCTATAATGCCAGAAATTTATTTAGCCAAATGGATGAAAGGCTTTCGCGTTAAAACCCGAGATCTATTATCTTATACCTGATCGATTCGTCTATAAATTATAGTCCCACCGTTTTATTTGTTATAGCCTCTAAATTATTACGTTTTGTACACAATTCCCTGTGAACCGATCGTATGTTAGCATTAAGCACAGAAGTTGGTGCCGTAACCTTGAAATCTCTAAAACGCTTCTGATTGGCTCGTCCATAAATTAAAGTCTAGCCAGTCACTTGATTGTTCTTTGAATGAATGTATTACCGGACTTCAATTCTTTATACAACCTCTGCATCTATTCTAAACTATAAACATCCGGAACACTAGTATTTTAACTTATTATATATCGTTGTTCTAAACTTGTTAAGTCAATATAACATATACAAAGTAGGTATGTTCCATATTTCATTTATATCATTAACGAGTCATCCATATCGAAGTCACATAATAAGCATCTAAAAACTATTACTTTACTATTTGTAATGAACAGTAGTATAGTTCACCAATAATTCATTTGAAAATATAATAGAGTTATTATGTAATGACACGCCATTATTAGAGGAGTGTAATCAATGTTATTTATGTTGTCATGACTAATAATGAACTACAATAAGTAAGATCACTTTAAGCAGAAACGATTTTCATCTCCATAATACAAAGAAGAAGACAAAAACAAAAGATCAATAACAAAATAAAGTTTTAATCGCCCTCGAAAAATACTAATTAGACAAACGAGTATCATATAAAATGGTAATAATGGAATGTTATTACCGCAAAAAGATAACAGAATGAATTAAAATAATTATCTTGTATTTTATATCATTTTAACTTAATGAATGATACTTTCTTTAGTAATAAAAATGTATTTCATGTATTTCATCTTTCCAACAGCCAATTTAGTATAATAACTGATGTTTTAGAAGAATGTTTTATTGAAGCTAAACTATCGATTTCACAAACTGGAAATGAGACGTGAAGAACTCAACAAATAATAAATCGAGATGTATAGGAAGGTCTGTATTCTTACGAACGAGGAGATCATGTGCGATAACTCCATGATATTCACGTTTAAATATGAAGATTGCCTAATCAAATGTTTCTTCGCAATAGTGACAGATTCTTATACACAGGAAATGTTTCTCAACAAGTTCAAACTGTGTTATCTCAAAATATTTACATCAAAATCCAACCTTCAACTCCATCCCATTCCATTCCATCATTCAGTGGATACTATTCACAATCTCTCATCACTGACAACATTCTTTCTTGTAGATGGTTGAATAGCAAGCTAGTTGTGTCTCTGTGTCAATGTAGCACACAATCAAGCAGATGGTTGTCAATTGTATCTGTTCAACAAGTTGACATGATTTGAAGAAATGTGTGCCAAATGAATTCCACAACTAGTATCACTGTAGATGAAGTAACGTGGATTCTATTGACGCTGTTCAGTGTGATCCAGTTTATTCGAATTTGTACGGAGATTGACCTATATGATTTTAATAGTTGGTCGGTGATACTTCAACACACACTATGTGTATATGACCACTTAGTGGACATCATCTACATTCTGAATAGACTACTAAATATGCAGTATTTACAAAGTATCTAGTTTATCCAATTTATCTTGGTCTACCACCAAACTAATAATGATGCCTATGTGGATAGATTATTTTTAGTGTGATTATTAATATTGACATCAGATTCTCAATGCGTGTCACTTGACAATTCGTATTTTATGACTATCATTCTTCCAAATACAAATTACTCAAAACTTGATGGCTTACATCTATATCGAACAGAGACAGTTCAAACAGTTCAACTTTGGCATGATGAAAATCGATTAATCGTGTAATTCAGTCAGTGAGTCAAACTGAATAATCAACGTCTTCTGAGTGATAAGATGAGATTTTTCTAGCACAAACAAGCAAACGAAACGGCATAGATTTCACATACTAACACTAAAACACCAGTTATCTTCCTCATCAAAATCGGAACACTGTTCTATATAGAATCATGTTTCAACGTATGCTCGATTAGTAAACCGATACCTGATCACATTACCAAAATCAAAACTGAACAGAAATACAACTATTCAATTATATTTAAACACGAAGATAAACAGTCAATATTTATCTAAGTTATCACAGCATTCTAGCTCATCTCCATTTTAAATCTTTACCAACACTTCCATTCTAAATCTAATTTCAGTTTACATCAATTCACGTTTCACAACACCACCCATAAGCGATTGTTCGGCATTTTCATCAAATTCAGATGACCCATCAACAGGCTCATAAATGTCTTGTTGATTTTCATCAAATCCTATGTTATCGTAATATTGAGGTTGTTGAAAATGTGGGAATAGTTCAGGTTGCATATTTAACCCTCCCATTTGCATTTGAGGCTTAATGGGTGGATACCCATACTGTTGTAATTGTTGTTGTTGTTGTTGACCTTGTTGTGAAGGATAGAAAGCTTGTGCTAGTTTTAACTGTTGTTGACGTTTCATCATTTGTGATTGACCAATGGGTTGTCCATATCCACCCTGTCCTCTGTTTGAATTGGAAGATTGGGAGCATGAGCTCATTGGTTGTTGTACATTGTGGTTAATGCTCTCCCCCATTTGTCTCTTCATCATCATATTGGATGAGTAGTATTGTTGTTGTTGTGGTTGTTGTTGTGATTGTTGTTGTTGCGGTTGCTGTTGCTGTTGTTGCGATTGTTGTTGTTGTGATTGTTGTTGTTGGGGTTGCTGTTGTTGCGATTGTTGTTGCATTGGTTGCTGTTGCCCATATGAGTTCTGATCTTGCATCGATGCTACTTTTGATTGTAGGCCTCGCTTTACCGTCGATACGTTCCCACTTTCGTTCTTGTATAGCAGATTATTAATCTGTTCACTCAATACCATCATGTCTTCTTCAAGCCGAACTCCCATTTGTTCAATTTTCTTTAATTCTTGTTCCAAGTGATTAACACCTGATCTGGAATGTGATGGACTTATAAAACTGCTGACCAGAACACACAGGACTGAGAATATCATGAAGTGAAATATGAAACAGTTGATTGTCCTCATAGTTCAGTCTGAACACCTGTCAAATAGAACAGAACATATGAAACACTTAGCAAGAAGTCTCTAGGTAACACTATTTAAATAATCAGTTTCATACAAAACACGCATTCGGAGCACAAAGAACTTTGCCCATGGATTCGACTAAATGAACATTCAATAAACATCGACTGTAGATGTATACACAATTGAAAAGTAGTGGAGATTCTTACACATCTAAATTCGAAACATCAAATTTGTGGCAGTCAACTCTCACGAAACCATCCAGCATTATCTGACCTAACGAAGACCACGACATGTTTTGTATCAATCAGCCTATACACAAGTTCGCACTTCCAATATAGTTCGTTTGTAATACATCACGGCATTTAATCAGTGTCCCGATTCAACAAGTCACGGGTTCCTAACACTACACTACGGAATCCATCGTGAAGTTAAATTCTAACGTACTGACAACTATAATTCACCAAGTTGTTTTGTGCAAAGATTTGTTCTGTCTGAATATGGTTCTAGTCACAAAACAATGATACGAATGTCAAACAAAATACTTTGATGAATAGTTGATATTGGGAATAATTGCATTGTGGAAGTAGTGACAGTGTCTTCACAATCATTACCTCTTCAAATATTCATAAAGATTCTTGATTTCTTCAAATTGCATATGAGTAGGAAGTAATCAGTTTTGTGATTATGTGATCATGCAGAATAAATTTTACTATTTCACATTGTCTATAACACCAACTAAATTATTAATTGTGGCTTAAGTGTACTCTTGTACTCTTGTGTCACGTATAAATGTCACTGATTACTGACAATATGATACATGATTTTCGAGTTATAGATTGTTTTCAAATTAGATCGATTTGTGTAACACGAATAGAAGTTTTGAGAAAATCACCCTTATTCAAACTTCGGAAGGTATCAAGAAATGTATGCTCTACTCTACTGTACAGCACATCCCATCGTTGGTGTAAATCAATGGAATGGACATTTTGTCATGTTGGAATAGAAAATCATACACAGTAGATGACAAGTGAGTACATTGTGAATTCAGTGTGCCAAAACCTAGGAATTTATCGAAGGTTTCACTTGTTTTACAATGAAGTTACGACAAACATTTGCTTGTGGGTAATTCATGATTCTCATAAACAGATGATGTTTTGAATGAAGATGCTTATCGAGTATCACGATCGAGTAAGTCAATAGTAATAAGGATGAACAAGAACAACGTTATACTCACCTGTTTCTTTGATAACAAATCTCTTTCGAACGTTTCACATAGTATCGCATATTTATATTCGTCTCACCTGTTGCCGTAACAACAACTAATTGTCATCTAGTCATTATTCTGTATCACAATGTTGTAAATAAATGAGTGGAAATGACTGAAATTTCAACTACAATACACCTGACAAGTTTGATAGTTACCAATACATCATCTACATAAATATATATCTCTGTGTGTGTGTGTTATTTGTGACACCTTTTTGATAAAATTGAATCGAATCAACTACCACCATATATTCGGTCATAAATGTGTCCAGTTTTGAATGAGGGTCCTGCATATTTTGTTTGATGGTACTTGTTAAGTGTCGAAAAATTGGGAGAATAAACTGAAAAGTAAATTGTTATGAAGCTGATTTACGGTGAACGTATATAAAATAGTTTCACTGTGTGTGTTGTCAAGCTATTGGTTTATTGTATTTTGACATTATACTGATTTGGAACGTCCCATTTCACAGATCATCTATAGTTTCTTTTGACCAACCGATTAGTGTGAATGAATTAGAGACCTATTACTCGCCTTTGTATCTCCGATATTCTAGTTCATTGCGTTTTGATATTTCTTATTTATTTTATGATTGGTTGAATAGTCATAACCTGGAATGTGGTGATCATATCACCTAATCTGAATGTAGATATCATCATAAGGACAAGTGAAGGTCGAAATCAAACAGATGAATCCTTTGACTTTTTAGTTTAACAAATAGGATAACGGTGACCATATGTTGGATTCACAATAAGACAAGAGCTTATTATTAGCAGGTAGAAATTTAAGGCTTAAGAACAATGTTTATTCTGGCTAGACTGATATCAAAACACCATTGAATACTAGTAGATCATCTGTCCACCATCCATAGTTGGAAAGGCTCGTGAGGAGACTGTCACTTCTCTAGGAGCGTATACTTAGACTTCGATCACACTTCAGTGAGAAAGCACGATAGGAAGATGTATTAAACATCAACTAAAGCATGAACAGGTCAAGGATGAATTCAGAGAAAAATTAAGTGTTCTCTAATTGGCCATGAGGAAGAAACGTCGTTCTGGAAAAACAACATCATAACCGAACATCTGTAATTACAACAGCAATATCTAACACCAATTTAATTCAAAAAGTTAAAAGACCAGTGAATGTTGTTGCCATCTTCTAGATTGACAGATGCTCGAAAACTCATTTGAACACACGGAGAATTATGAAATGTGTCGACGACTTAAACTTAGGACAACTTAAAGTTTACGCAATGATCGTTAGGTGTGATAAATGAAAGAACCAGAATGAACGGAAGCGAGTACAGAGATAGATAACATGAGATGATTATTTCGGTCAATCAGGTTAACAGTTATCCACAAGCCAGTTGTTAATAATACTGTTTTAAAAAGAGACGAAGCTTTTATTCACGCTTGGTCCATGAGGTTAAACAGATGGGGCAGAACATTAAAAAATAGTTCAACCGACCTTAAGCTAAACTCTAGTTACATTTTATCTCCAGACCGCATGAATAGGGGGTTGACACAAGTTTATAAGACGATGTAGAGCAGTTGAATGTGAAAGGCTGACCCCAGAGTTCTTTGATAGTCTTGCTTCAGAACTGTTCAGCGTCAATGCCTAAATTAACGGTAACTAGTTAAGTGGTTGAATCTATTGACTACTTTGTTGTCTTGATGGTCTCATTAACTCTATAGGGTCGACATCTAACAAACTTTTAGCACTGATTTCAATAGGTCATTTGGCCATTTCCAACTTGCACCGGTTTTGATATAGGTTGGGTGTTTCTCCGACAGTTAAGGGGTGATCGTACTGAACAGTAGTCCATTCTGTAATACTCTATGTTCATTAAAAAAACTCCATATTACAATACAAGACAAAAGTATGTTGCGCATTTATGATCATAGGTGACTTGTAATCAATGCTAACTGGTCGTCGAACAACCGAGTGAGCGACTTTATGTTTATGTATAGGGTACTAGGCAGCGGAGACAAAGCTCCTGAAAAGGGTTGAAAATCTTCAACTCAGGTGTTTATGACATCAAATAAGAAGCGCTAACCATCACCAATCTCAAAGGGTGATGTTTACTGGTGTAGGAGTTAGTTGAAAGAAAGTTGGACTCAGCAAAACTGAAACACGAAACCAGTCACTGACTGATGGTTTGTGCCATGTTTATAGGTACGGAGTACCTGTTTGGGGTCGGTGCGTTACCGTTCATCTGTGGTTATATACTAAGCTGATACACAAACAAGTTTGTAAATGCTTAAATTAACAAAGTCTTTAGTTTAACATACAAGGCTAACAGACTGTCATTTTAGCCCATAATAATTCACCTGTACTTTCATACAAATATTCTTGTTTATAAAGGTAAGTTCGTATTCCGATGCTTGTGTATCAGCTTACTATTTCATTCTCTGATCTGTTAAAACATTAGTTGATTGAAACATTTGATGACTAATTTTCTTCTAAAAGCATATTCGCTTACGAAATACTAAAAAAGGATTCATTTACTATTCTGCATGCTGCTCGTATGATTTGAACTGAACACTATTAATAAACTGTCCCTAAAACATTTTGTTTCAACATTTGATCATCATGAACCATTAGTGTACTAACTCATTAACGATAATTTAATTGAAGAGTATATGAAGTTAGATATACGTAGGCGACCTTCCCATAGCAGTCCAAAACATTGGGTGAGAAAGAATTATAATCGATTACAAAAGTACAGGTTGATTCGCCCTTCATCCTCCTCCAAAATCCTTGGTTCCCATGTCCAATAACAAATACCTTTTCATTCTGACTTTCACTACCAAATCTTCAATGTTATATTTTCCCTATTACTATTACTGCATTATTTCGATTCATATATTAATCACATTTCTAATTTCATATTGACGTGGTAATGAGATAGAGCAACCTGGAAAAGCTCATATTTGTAAATGACTCTATGACAACAAAAGATAACAGAGTTGGTGTACTTGATATCATGATTAATAGTTTGAGAAATTGTGACAGTATGAACAGGGCTATCGATCACTAAATCAATCGTTTTACTAACATGTACACAACAATAATTAGTAGCTATTATTGTGAATTAATCGACTCACAACAGTATTCATCATCCATTATGTTAAAAACACAGTGAGTAATTATTCCAATCTGTTGACCAATGTTCAGTTTGTAGTAAATGTTTCATGACGTTTCATGGTGTCACTATTTCACTCCCATCCAGTAACTTCGGTAATAACATATTTTCGAGAGTGTTGTAATTTCCGACTTCTCCTCTACTGCTTTTGTGTCGTTGTTCACAACTGTCATCGAATATCCATTGATAGGGATTTGATCACACTTCTCACTTGTCCAATTGACATCTCACAATATGTTTGTCATAATATGTCATATCTATCAATAGGTTTCAATATAGATGGGATACATCTAGAACTGAGTTGTGCATGAATCGAGATTTCATCACATCTCTCTCACTGTTCCTCCACTATGCGCACAAATACGCTTGAGTGTGACATCTAACAGCACTCATTCACTGGAATTATTGACAAATCAATGTGTTTTTATGAAGTGCAATATCTTCATGTGTTATTCACCTACATGTTTTCGACCAACACGTTTGTTTGTGAAACGTGAAACGATAAAATCTAGAATTGGAATTCAATTGGTATCAATTTGTGAGACACTTTTGTCGATTGTAGGTTTTAGCAA